AGCAGGAATCCTGTGAGGTAGATTTAGCCAGAACTCCCTTAACCCCAGATGTTTTCTCTTAGTAATTTTCCATCCAGCGACCCCCACCCTCCTCCTTGGCTATAGCTTCCCACTTGCCCAGGCTGTATTCAGAACTGAGCCCAGTTCTACCCTGTGGTCTTGTTTCCTCTATTGCAACAGTCCTGAATACAGTCTGTTTTTACTTTAACTACTGTCCAGCTCTGGTTTATGTCTGACATTCCCAAAGGGGGATGGGGGGGATAAATGTATTGAAATAATAAGTAACAACAACAAAATGTTCCCTGGCAATTAAGCTCAGACCGAGCAAATGACTTTTCCCTCCAGTCTTTTTTCTGTAACATTTATTATGTGTCTGGATTACCTGATCACTGTTCAAAATACGGAAAATACAGAAAAACACTAATAATTTGATTATAACCCTACCATCATGATATAATCACATTTAATAGCAAAATTCTGTCCTTCTGATTTTTCATATAAATCACACATGCAAATATTTTAAAACGGCTTTTCAATTGCTCACAATGTGCCTGAGTCCCTCAGTCCTTAAACATAGTAAAAACATCAAATATTTACTGAACACCAAGATGCATGAGACACTAATTCCCTAAGACAATCTTGCTGTTAAGTATGATTATCTTCACTTACAGCCTAAGAGATTAACTTGCCCAAGGTCACAGAGCTAGTGAGTGGACATTTACTTCAACTAAAGCCCATCTGACTCCACAGTCAGTGCTCCTTGCTTCTCTCAACACCGTAACAACGGGTTTTATTGAACAGAAAGAAAGCTATGTTTTAGTGGTAGAAACAAATGAGGATATTTGCACAAACTCGTTTCTTTCATTTTTTGAATCTTGCATGTGTATCTAGATATTTTATAACAGCAAGAAAGAGAATTATTGTGGGTTGGCATAACTTTTACAACATTTAGAGAACATGAGAAGTAAGGGTGCTATTTACATAAACTCCAAATTTGGAAATGAAAATCTCTACTGAAGTACCTATTCTAGATAAAATGTTTATTCAATGGAGTTGACGGGACAGCAGTATTGTTAGGGGACCGACAGCAACCAGAAACCAAAGAAACTAATGGTACAATGTGCAGCAGTGTGCTTTGGGCATGTGTAGCTGGCACTCGAAGTCTACTGATTTGTTGAGGAGCAAGCAAAGGATCAACAGAAAAATTACGAGAACAAGAAACACACTGCAATATGAGTGCATGTGAGGCAGCAAAGTCCACGGAATCCGAATTAGAAGCAATAAGATTAATCTGTGTACAGCAACTGGAACCAAGATGGCACCACTTTGGGACAAAGGCTTCCATTATAGTCACCCAGGAGCCTCAAACAGGACAGATACCTGGGAACTGAATGAAAAGAAGAGTGGGGAGGGAGGGATGAATGGGCAGGGCAACGGCAATTTTTAGGGCAGTGAAAATACTTTGTATGAGACCGTAATGGTGGATGAGTCATTATACATTTGTCCAAACCTACAGAATGTAGAACACCAAGACTGATTCCTAATGTTAACTGTGGAATTTGGGTAATAATGATGTCTTCATGCAGGTTCATCAATTGCAACAAATATCTAGTGGAGAATATTAATAAGGGGCAGGCTAGGCATGTGTGGGAGCAGGGGGTATAAGGGAAACCTCTGTACCTTCCTCTCAATTTTGCTGTGAACCTAAAACTGTCCTAAAAAAATAAAGTTTATCAAAAAAAAAAAAAATTTTAAAAAAAAAAAAAAAAAAAAAAAAGCGCAGCAGCAACTATAGCCTTACTAGAAAGAGTGCCCTACCTTGTAAACCATAACCCCTTCCTCCACCACTATCACCACCATACACGTTAATACGTAAACTCCAAGAGACCCAGACGTCTGTTTTGGCCCACAGCTGTCCCTCAGAGCTTAGAAGCTTGGCACATAGTAAGTGCTCATCAAACAGTGGATGAGCGAATGCTTGCCTGAATACAAACAATGATTCCAGGATGGATAAACTGCGGCATTTGGAAGGGGGAGCAGTGCATGGTTCTCCTCCTCCCGCATCAGTTCCTCCTCCTGAGTTCTTTCCCAGCTGGAATAACTAACGAGTATTTACTGCGTGCCAGGAATACTACAGGGATTCTGTGTTAATTAAGGCAGGCAGTCCTGGTACTCACCAGAAACTCAAATTCCCCGGCATAAACCAGGACCTCCCCGCTCCACGTTGATCCTAATAAGACCCCCGTTGATCCTAATAAGACCCCGTTGATCCTAATAAGACTGGGAGGGGGGTCTCTAAGGATCATGAAACTCAGGGCACCTGGGTTGCTCGAGGTCACCCAGCTCAGGTATCCGGGGCAGGATCAGAGCAAGTGCCATCCGGCACCCCGCACCCCTTCCCGAGATCCTCCCCAACAGCCCCTCCAACGCCTCGCTAAAGCCGCGGACCCGTCCCTTGCCGGCGGCCATCCCCCTCCACGGCGCGCGCCTCCCGCCGCGGCCTATACCCGTCCCGAGTGGCCGGGGATGGTTTGCGGTGCCATATCTTGCCGCTCTCCTTTTTGCCCAGGTTTATGCTCTGCATGTCGCAGTCCACGCGCGACCGCCGCCAGTCCAGCTGACAACGGCCCCAGCGCCTTCCCGGAAGGCCCCGCGCTTCCCGCCCGGGAAACTTGAGCGCCTGCCGCGGCTGCCCGGATCCCCGCCGACCGTACCAAGCGCGCGCAGGCCGCCGATCGGACGGCGCTTAAACTCCGCCCAGGCGACCCCTCCCGCTCAGGACAATGGAATCAGCCTACGACCTTCTCCCTTAGACTCCGCCCCTTTCGCGGTCCGTTCTCCCCACTCCACCCCCCCCCCAAAACCTTCTGGGAATCGTAGTTTTCTGCAGGTGTAACTTGGCGCGCTGAATCGGCTTGGGATTTCTGCTTTCTGGGGGCCTCGCTGGGTTTTAGGCTTTCAACGGAAGCAATAAAAGTGATTTTTCCCTAGGGCCCCCAGATCCCGTTTCACGTTGCGTTTAGGGATTGAGGAGTTGTACAGACAACTAATAGAGAAGCAAGGACGCAAATGCATTGAGAATTGAAGGGTTCCTTTTATAGAACATTCGGGTTCAAAAAAGAACCTTGATGGAGTCCACTCTTCTTGACCTTTTCATCATCGTCATGAATGTTGTTTTAATTCCGTAGTCTAACAAGAGGCTCCGGTATTATAGCGTCGGATCCACCAGTCATGCACCGGTGAAGCAATGTCATCAACAACCAGTTGCGCTGACGCCAGAGAAATTCTTTTTGGTAAATATTTACTTAGAACTTGCATAGTGCTTACTAGGTATCAAACACTCTTCTAAGTGCTTTAGGACTATTAACTCATTTAAGTTTTTTAATCCTCATAACAAACCTACAACGTTGTAATACTGTCATCTTCATCTTTAGTGCTTTCTGAGGTAGTGTATTGGTTTGCTGAGGATTTGTGCCACAAACTTGGTGGCTAAAACAACAGAAATTTATTCTCTCACAGTTCTGGAGGCCAGAGTCTGAATCAAAGTGTTGGCAGGTCACTCCCTCCAGAGGCCCTAGGGAAGATTACTTTGCCTCTTCCACCTTCTGGTGGTTGCTGGCTTCCTTGGCGTGGGACCACATCACTCCATTCTCTGCCTGCAACTTCACCAAGCCTTGTCTTTTCCTCTAATCTCTGTCTCAAATCTCCCTTTGCTTTTCTCTTATAAGAACACCTGTCCTTGGATTTAGGGCCCACCTGGATAATCTAGGATAATCTCCTCATTTCAAGATCCTTAACTTATTTACACCTGCAAAGACCCATTTTCCAAATAAGGTAACATTCACACGTTCTGGGCATTACTCCCTGGGTATATATTTCCGGGGTCCGCCATTCAACCCACTACAGGTAGAAAAATGACTTTTTACAAAATTATATGACCATGATATTTAAAAAGCGCAAACTCTAGCAGAAATACAAAACGCTCACAAAAGTTTAGCAGTGTGGATTTTTAAACTTTTTTTTTTTTTTTTTTGCCGTATGTGGGTCTCTCACTGTTGTGGCCTCTCCCGTTGCGGAACACAGGCTCCGGACGCGCAGGCTCATCAGCCATGGCTCACGGGCCCAGCCGCTCTGCGGCATCTTGGATCTTCTCCGACCGGGGCACAAACCCATGTTCCCTGCATCGGCAGGCGGGCTCTCAACCGCTGCGCCACCAGGGAAGCCCTGAATTTTTAAACTTTTTATATTGTTATCAAGGGGTAGCCCTGAGAGACAACTCTTAGTAACCCTTTGCAGAGGAGATTTTTATTTTATTTTTATATTTTTATATTTTTATTTTTATTTATTGGACTTGAGATGGTAATACACTGTATGTATGAATGTTTACATTATTATTCAGGAAATTTAAGGTGTTAAGCTTAAGGGCACCTAACTTGAAACAGGTTATTTCCCACATTTGTGTCTCACACAGGTAACCATACAACTTTTTATCGGTAGCAGAGACAAATCTGATGAATGATTTCCTTAACTACTCCGGTTTAACCTGCCTGCAGCTCAGCTTGTATGGGTTGTCACAGCCTATGTGACCATCCTATTCAATTTCAGATACATTGGTAAAGAGGTTTCCATATCACAGATCTTCTGGACACCCACTTTTCACTTATCTTTGGATTTAGTTGGACCAGATCTGAAGGTCAGGCTGGCAACTGAAGAGATGTTCACCCATGGCTGCCAACCTTCCAATTTTTTCTCTTTTCTTTTTTTTTTCGGCCACACCATGTGGCATGTGGGATCTTAGTTCCCCGACCAGGGATCGAATCTGCACTCCCTGCATTTGAAGTGCAGAGTCTTAACCACTGGACCACCAGGGAAGTCCCTAATCTCCCAATTTAGTAACCCAAATTGGTCGACCATTTTCTAGTTCCTTCTTGAATCATTCATTACGTAGTCAATAACTGATGCATACTATACATAGATATTTTTCAGCTTTATTGAGGTATAATTTGCATTTAATAAACTGTACATATTTAAAGTGTATAATTTTATAAGTTTTAACATAAATATATTCCTGTGAAACCATGACCATAATCAAGATAATGAATATATCCATCACCTCCAAAATTTTCCTTCTGCCTCTTTGCAATCTCTTTTTATCCCTACCCCACCTTGTCCATGGGCAACCACTGATCTGCTTTGTGTCTCTTAGATTAGTTTATATTTTCTAGAAATTTATACAGATGGGTGTTAAACTAGGTACTCTTTTTTTTTTTTTGAACCAGTTTCTTTCATTCAGCATAATTATTTTGAGAGTCAACTATGTTGTTGGGTATATCAGTGGTGCATATGTTTTTATTGCTGAGTAGTATTCCATGGTATTGATATACCACAATTAGTGGTATATTCAGCTGTTGGTGAACGTTGGGATTGTTTCCAGTGTTTGGCTCTTACAAAGAAAGCTGTTATGGACATTTCTGTTCAAGTCTTTGTATAAATATATGTTTTCATTTCTGATGAGTAAATTCCTAGATGTGGAATGGCTGGGCCATATGGTAAGTGTAGGTTTAACTTTTTAAGAAAGTATCAGGGGATTCCCTGGTGGCGCAGTGGTTGAGAGTCCGCCTGTCGTTGCAGGGGACACGGGTTCGTGCCCCGGTCCGGGAAGATCCCACATGCCCTGGTGCGGCTGGGCCTGTGAGGCATGGCCGCTGAGCCTGCACGTCCGAAGCCTGTGCTCTGCAACGGGAGAGGCCACAACAGTGAGAGGCCTGCGTACCGCACAAA